CACTCGTTAACCCACTCTTCCCCTGCTTCTCCTCATGCTAAAAACAACTTTAGCACTAACAATCCAGCACACTGCAAAGGCAAAGTTTGAAAGATGAAATGCAAAAAGAAAGTCCTATGGAGGTCAAGTGCCAGACCTTGAGACCAGAGAAGGAATCCACTGCGAAAACTCCCTTACCTTTACACACTTGACATTAATTCCGGGACAGACAAACTTCTTCCAGAGCAAGATGGCTTTGCTCTCCCCGCAGGTGATGGGATAGGCGATCTCGATTTCCTCGTTCGTTTCAATGGTGCTGGGGTCTGAGAGAGGAAGGGGCGAAAATGAAACTTTCCACCCAAGAAGCTCAAATCCCACAAGGCAGAAGCTGAAAACTCACAGGTTGCGAGACCTACACTGAGGATGCCAAAAGAAGGACCGTTCCCAGTCCAGGATCAGTCCTGCCTTAGTCTTCTCCAATTACTAGCTCTAACAGCAACTGTCATCTGCTTTTTAATATAGCAACACTCAAAATTAAGCTCATCTGTCAGGAGAACATGGGATTGGAAATCCAACAAATCTGTAAGGGGGGGGGGGGGGGTCAATGAGAACAATCTGTGGAAAGCACAGATATCTCTCAGATTTCTTGCAGCTCTGGTATCTCTTTAGCAGAGATATCAGATATTTACTGATAATATATTCTCTTCACACGCAGAGTTTCTGCTAATACTGCCAAAAGACCCACACCCACACAGGAAGCAGAACACTAGTTAAGATCTAGTGACAGCACCTAATGACAGGAGCCTTCTCCCACATACTCCTCAGGATGGCAGGGAGCACTCAGAGTCAACCTGCTCAGTTCTTCTGAACATCCAACCCAAACTGTCAGGCTGTTCATTCAACAAAGAGCCAGCAGTCAGAGTCTGATGCCTCAGCCAGTGCAGACACAACTGCCATCCTTATAACCATCATTCCTGCCTGCTAGTGTTGCACACCAAGTCTAGGGTGAAATCTCGGCTCCCCTGGACCCCGTGGGAGCCCTTACCATTCATTGCAGGAGAGCCAGGATCTCAGTTGAGGACTTTGAGACCAAGCAGTAACAGCAGACTCTTAGTCCAGAGTATGCCCAGCCCCTGCACCCACATCCATGCCTGGGAAACAGCATCTGCAGGGGCAGAGCCAGAAGGAAGCCCAGCGAACTGGAGACACCAGCTCAGCGGCGACCAGCCCTGCAGAGGAGGGGATTCTGCCCACGCCAAGCAGGAACTCACCGATCCCTTCTTCTAGCTTGTGGATGGTGTGGGTTTCGACGGCCACTACGGCAGCGCTGGCCTCAGAGCCCTCTTGGTAAATCCTGTTGTGAAAGCAGCCATCCATAAACAAACTGTATAAATCATGGGAAATTAAGATTCATAGCACGGGGTTAAAAATTCAGTTTGTTTCCTTCTTGCCTGTCCTCCAGGGACATGGATTTTGTTTGATACAGTTTCAGTCGCAGGCATTTTTTTGGCACATACAAAAATACGATAATAATCCCAAGGACCGAAACACGCAGAGGCATTCCCAGTCCTGTCATTGCACCCTCCACATTGGCAGCGCCACTGAAGCAGCTCTGCAGCGCGCTTCCCTGTGCCTTCTCCTCTGGTTTCTGATACAGGCAGTTACCCACGACAACAGGAAGCAGAGCTCAATGCCCCAGGATTTCCCTTCCAGCCCTGTGTGACACTGCAGCAGGGGTGATCACGCAGGGAAGAGTCACTGTCAGGCCTACAGCCACCCTGCTCTGTGAGTATTATCAAACTGGAGCCAGTATATTTACATCCTGATTGATCCAGAGTTAAGGTGAAGCGCCTGGTGGCAGCCACTTCTCTGCAGCAGCTGCCAGGGGACCACAAAATTCCCTCCAACATCCCAGCTTCATTGTCTTTTAGAGGAGAATTATTTTAGGGGAAGGCTGGCACAGAGGCATATGCGGATCTGGACCCACGGGCACAGACCACCACGTACAGCAGCTGCAGTGTGGCAACAACCCACCCTGGGGCCAGAGAGGGAAGAGGGAGACCGGGAGGATGCGTGGCCGGGGCAGCACCACGACCACCTCGCTGCTTCCTCACTGCCATGGCCATCGCCAGGTTGCCGTGATCTGGAGATAGCATCGTGCGGACTTGTCCCCGCAGGACAATTTCAGTCCTTGGAGGCCCCGTGACAGCGACACACACAAAAGCTTTTTTGCCTTGTAATTTTCTCCCTACCGTGCGTGGCACAAAACCGATGCGGACCTGGAAAACGCAGCGACACTTGGTCCCCGCACCAGGAAAACCTGCAGAGAACCCCCCCACGTCCCACCCCGCACCTCCCAGACACACCAGTACCATCCAACTCACCCTTGCTGCACCGGCTGAAGCTGCAAGATCACTTGGGTTTTGGTATCCTCCGGGTTCTCCCCTTCGTTTCCGTCACTTGGTACAACCACCACATCACCCACAGGGACGCTCACTTCGGCATTCGCCATCTCTCACATGAAGCCCGGCGGTGGCGGGGTGCCGCGGTGCTGCAGAGGGCAAAGCAGAGGCAGGTCTGTTCCGCGGCAGCACCGCTGCCTGTGCAGGGAGAGGGACAGGCAGCGGCGTGTAAGCATGATCGCCCAGTCCCGCCGCAGCAAAGGCCGGGCTAGCGGGGACCGAGGGGCTGGCAGAGCAAAGCTCCGGTTCCAAAGAGGGGACCAGGCATTTTAAATTCACCACCAGAGAGATGGCAAGCGCCTGTCAACACACGGGAGGATTTCTCCTCCCCTCTTGATCACGATAGCTGGGAACATCTCATCCGACAACACAAAACCGACAGAGGCAGATCCCCCCAGTGCCATCCCACTCATAACTTCCCAAGCCGGCAGCAGCCGGTGGCTCTCCCCAGCCCCGCAGGCTGACGCTGGCTGAGCAAACCCACACTGTGGGTTTCGGCGAGAGCACGAGAAGGTTTTCCGAGCTTCTCCCCCTCCGGCTGGCAGCGCTTCCAGCCACCCTTGGGATGCTCTGATCCCTTGCTACCAGGAACATGCCCGGGACCGACCCTTCCCACCGCACGCGGGCTGCGGAGAAGCCGGTATTCCCAGCGGCAGAGGTGCGGTGTTGCAGGAGATCCTCACGGGGGGGTGGGGGGGGGGGCACCGAGCTGTTCCCTGCTGCTACGCAGGGAGGAATAAAAGTGGTTTTGTTACTGCCGTAGGGCTGGAGTTCAGCCCTGTGCGCCAGGCGTGGGTCAGGGTCCCCCCCCCCCCCAGGCTCCCTCCTGGGGGTTTAGAAGCTTTTGGGGAAGCGCTTGTGTCCAGAGGGGACCGCAGGCGGCTGACGGTGGGCTGGGTGGCCCACGGCTGGGACAAGCCAGGGGACGCGCACCCCCCCCGCCCACGGGTGACTGGGCCTCCCTCCTCGGTCACGTCTTCACCCTCTCGGGGCTCGTGGCGCAGGCCAGACTCCCCCGCTCCGGGGCAGCGCTCCCCGGTGATGCTCCCCTGGGACCCCCCGCGCTGGGACGGCGGCGGGGCCGCGGCTTCCTCAGGATTGCCGGCGGGCGGGGGGGGGGGGGGGGGGGCACGGCCGGGAGATGGAGAAACCCCGGCGGTGACCGGTGACCGGCTCCGGCCCGCGGGCCGAGGCCTGACCTCGGCGGGGGGGGGGGGGGGGCTGCTGGGCGAGGACCGCGGGCCGGGGGGGGCGGCGGTGGGGCCCCCGCAGGGCCGCGGGAGCAGCACGGCCCCCGCCCAGGGAACCCCGAGGCCCCGGTGGGGGCCGCTGGCCCTCGCTAGGCCGAGGGGAGGCCCCG